TCGATAGCTGGATACTACTACCATTTTATTACATTTTGAAGATTTTTGTTAAGGTTTTAAACTGACTTAGGCTAGCCTAAGGCAATGAATGTGTAACACTTTATTCTTCTTACTGCAAGAATTCAGCCCGGGAAATGAGAACATTTCCACTTACGTTAGTCACAGTAGTAAAAGTTTAACCCCTCAAGTGTCTTGCAAGTTTTCGTTCATGGGTTCTACCATTGATTTTGGTGGGATATATATCATCCCCGTGTCTGAGTATATCATGATGTCTTAGCAAATGCTAATACTCAGTCTGAGCACTAGAATATTTTATTTTATTATCTGATTATTTTGATTTCTAACCCCCCTCCTCCTAAAATTACTGTCACTCACCTTGTGGACATTATGGTGAAGGGCAGGCAAATAAATATATGAACCCGGGACAGGTAACAATATAATACACATAAGCAGTAAATTTGTACAGCACTATAAAATCATGCACATAAATATGCATTGAAGATTCTGATTTTCATATACTGTTCTCCTGATTTCCTCCTCAGTATTTATTTGTGCCATGGCATCCAAAAGTAGGCAAGGCAGTCTTACTGTGGTTCACTTAGTTAAGCTTTCCACAGTTCATAGTTCGTTGTTGTTTAGTTGTTTAGTCATTTAGTCATGTCCGACTCTTCGTGACCCCATGGACCAGAGCATGCCAGGCACTCCTGTCTTCCACTGCCTCCCGCAATTTGTTCAAACTCATGCTGGTAGCTTCATGAACACTGTCCAACCATCTCGTCCTCTGTCTCCCCCTTCTCCTTGTGCCCTCAATCTTTCCCAACATCAGGGTCTTTTCCAGGAAGTCTTCTCTTCTCATGAGGTGGCCAAAGTATTGGAGCCTCAGCTTCACAATGTGTCCTTCCAGTGAGCACTTAGGGTTGATTTCCTTCAGAACGGATAGGTTTGATCTTCTTGCAGTCCATGGGACTCTCAAGAGTCTCCTCCAGCACCATAATTCAAAAGCATCAATTCTTTGGTGATCAGCCTTCTTTATGGTCCAGCTCTCACTTCCATATATCACTACTGGGAAAACCATAGCTTTAACTATACGGACCTTTGTTGGCAAGGTGATGTCTCTGCTTTTTAAGATGCTGTCTAGGTTTGTCATTGCGTTCATAGTTCACACCAGTACAAAATGTGGATCCCATTAGAGTGTCGTCTCATACATTAAATGTGAGGCCCCCCCCAAAAAAATTCAGCCTTTCCAGGCATTGATAAACATCACATTTAAAGGGGGAAAGATTGAAGACAACACTGGGATAGACAGCCTGTGACCACCCCTTAATTAACTGGGAGACAGGCGGGTGCAAAATCACATTCTGCTCTGGTGTGCACAAGCCCTTAGATTCTCCACATTTTTTCAGAGTTCACTCTGCATAATTGGTCAGTTTTAGCATGATCCCTACTTATTCTTTTTTGTGTGTGACTTTCTCCTCCAATACGTGTACATCTTCACTGTGGTACATTTGACATATTCATAATATAACAGAAATATTTCATTTATTCCCAGGTAGCTGCCCAGGTGTTTAGAACATAAAATGAGGTTAGACATATTCAGTGCTCAGGAGGTGACTGGCCTTTCCAATTCCAACAATCTCTTGCTTTTAAGTATTTCTTTTAAATGAATATTAGCAGAAATTTAGAATGCATTTGATGAAAGCATTTCAAAACAAAGTGCTTTGCTTGCCTTTGAGAAGAATCTACCTTTCATTAGTGGTGCATATATTAGCGGGAATGTCAACAAGGAGCATTTGAAAGCAGCAGGCTTGCATGCCTGCCTTATGTTTGAATCCCAGATGGATCCCTCCCCCCAGCTGTTAGTGCTTCTCTGGCTTCCAGAATAGCTCCCATACCTCCCTCAGTCCTGGCTGGTGGTAATAACGCAGCAAAAGAAAAGGTTGACTCATGCAAACTTTATGGATCAGTCAGCAGGACAAGCTGAACGAAAGAAACTGCATTGTGTGCAAGTTCCAATGTTAGGGGCCTAGGAGAATGCAAGCAGGAATCCTGATCAAAGTCATACTCTACGTTAACTTTGAATGATAGGTCATGATAACGTTAATGTGCCAGAATGTCCTCCATAGTTAACAAGTGCACTTTCATTTGTGACTCCTAAGTACCAGTTTGGGTCAAAGGCAGCAGAGATATGTGGCAGTCCCAAACAGGATCGGGGGGTCTTCAGATCTCATGGTAGTGGGTCAGCTTACACTCTTGTGCTGCTCACTCTGTGACTTACTAGATCTGCCAAGAATATAGGAACATAGGAAGCTGCTTTATATTGCGTCAGACCATTAGCCTACCTTACTCAATATTGTCTGCCCTGACCGGAAGCCAGTCTCCAAGATTTTAGGCTGAGTCTCTCTCAGCCATACCTGGAGAAGCATTAAGCTACATACACACCATACATATAAAGCAGATTATGTCCCTGAAAGGATCTTGGGAACTTATCCCTCAGATAGCTACAACTCCCAGCATCTTTATCAAACCATAGTCCCCAGAATCTTTGGGGGGAAATAACGAGCATTAAATTGATGGTGTGTACAGAGCCCAAGTCTGAGTGAGGCAGGAGGTAGTGAATTACCTTGACAACAGAATTCTGGATGGAGATGAAAGAACCGAAAGAGCAAAGTTCTAGTCAGTGGTGTAGTCATGAATTCTGAAGTCCAGGAGCTCATCATGGCAGCCCCCATAGCCACATCCCAAGGAAGTCCATAGCCATATCTCCAGGGTGCAAGTCCAAAATGTAGGCACGGGACACAGCGTCACATCCAGCATGTTGGACTTTGTCTGGGTTCACATCTCTGATCAGACATGTGGCATGGCTGCGATCCTATGCACACTTTCCTGAGGGAAAGTGGCATTGAACTCGGTGGTGGTTGCTTCAAACTGCCTAGGTTCAATGTGTAAAACATACTGAAGTTCAATAAAAGATCTTCAGCGGATATGAAACCTTTAGCTCTTAATTAGAAATGCAAATGATCTTTGCAAAGAAGTGTTACCTTTTCAGCTGTGAGCATGATGTAAGAAACACATTCAGGGAAAGAAATAGCCACCCTTTTCTTGATGATTTCTGACTTGCTCTGACTTCCACTGATACTCTGTCACAATCAGTAGCAAAAACTGAAAGCCCAATTATCACCTCATTCCCTTGCCGGAGCAAGGAGTGTCAGAGCAATTACTGTGACGCTTTGCTGAATGATGTCATCACTCCTGCCATGAGAAAACTTTAATACAAAGCTAAGGGAATAAGAAGATCCACAGCAGCCGTCCTGCCCTAGTAAGTGGCAGTAATGCCACTGTTGGGAGGTGGCTCCATGCAGTGGTTGCTGATGCCCATTGGGACTGGTAGGTGGGAGGCAGAGACTAACAGTATGTAGGACCAGAGCCTACTTCTGTGCAAAGCTAACTAATTCTAGTTTTGCCCTCATCTTCCTCTCTGCTGAGTTCAACAAGGGAAACACTGAAACTAAGGATGAAGAATCTGGCAGGCAGTGTCACATCCTGGACTGGTTGTATGCAGGTAAGGTAGGCAGGTGGGGCCTGGCTGAGAACACATAGAAGTTGGTGGGCAGTTTCCCATTTGCCCTAATGGACCAGTCCTCCACTGGCTGCATGGCGCTGCCCTGCTGTCACTGCCTGAGAAGAGCCCAATCTATCTAACCTAGACTTGCTAGGTTTCTAAGACCTGTCTAGTCCAGCATCCCATATACAGTACCTCCAAGGCCAATTAGATGCCTATGGTAAACTCACATGCCTGCAGTAGTCTGTGGCATTTCCCTAGCATCATTTAGCACTGATATCTGGGGCTCCCTCATTCACATAACTATAGATGATATTGCATGAGTTCAAACTGAGCGCTTTTGAAGTCAAAGGTATACCGTGCATCGTATTTACTCTTTCTATAGATGCAACATTATTTTAATCAAAGTAAAATCTAATAACAAGCAAAACTCATTTTAGTCCTGTCCTTGGGCAATGTATTTATGGATTCTTTTATTTAAAGGGGGGGAAACATATTTTCCTACTGATGCTTTAATGGATGCTTAATGGATTGTTCTGGCTGAGTCAGAAATAGCCAGATTGCTTCTTCAATTGTGACATTAGCAATGTCTGGGAGATTATTTTCCCTGAAGGTATCTTGTCTAGCACTACTAGTGATGAGCAGCTTCTTCTACAAGACAGTCTTTGTGGCTCCTGAGAAGCTGCTGCCCCACCATCTGCTGGAAGCAGAATTAAAAGGGTACAGTCCACATGGCACAGAGCAGAGTGCTGTCCCCTCTCTAAAATGCTGAATGTCTGCCTACACAGCGAAGGTGGGGGATCTCTGCTGTAAAAAGTCATGGATATAAGAAGCCAATTCCTCCTCCTCCTCCTCCTCCTTAAAAAAATTAGGAGTGCAATTTCACTCCAACACACCAAGACATAATAATATTAAAAGGGGGTGTAAGGAGTATTAGGGGACACATCATGATTCTTCTGTGGTAGTTCGTCCACACCATCTAACACCGCTGTAAACAATTCGAGATGGATAGTCAATAAACAGGCCATGTGGAGGCCACTTCAGTATCATCAAACTAAAAACAAATGGAGAAACATTGTAGACTCCTCCACAACCACCATTAGAAGACCACACCTCCTACTTGGTGCTCCAATTCTTTTCTTGAGCATGACTGTGTAAATTGTGCTACTGAACCATGGGGAGAAAACACAGTAAAACAATGATTTGATGGCATCATGTAGATCACTGGTCTTCAACTGGTGGGTTGGGACCCAGCAGTGGGTTGTGGCCTGATCCAAGCTGAGCCACAACAGGAGCAGTGCCACCATGAAAATAAATGGTATAAAATTAAGAAATGGGTTCCCATGTTTGGATTAAAAGGGGGACCTGGGCCTGAAAAAGTTGAAGATGCCTGATGCAGATGACCCATAAAAAGTGAAACAAAATAAAAAAATAAAATCATTCCAGTAGCACCTTAGAGACCAACTAAGTTTGTTATTGGTATGAGCTCATACCAATAACAAACTTAGTTGGTCTCTAAGGTGCTACTGGAAGGAATTTTTTTACTTTGTTTCGACTATGGCAGACTAACACGGCTATCTACCTGTAACCATAAAAAGTGAGTGAACAAAGTGTGGCTATTGTGAAAGTGCTAAGTATGTAAAGTACATGTGTAGTGTGAAAGCAAGTGCAATCTTATTCATCCCCTGCAACTCAGTTTTGTGTCTTCCCAGGCCGAAGCCTATAAAGCAAAGGGCAGGGTTTTCAGTTTCTTGCCTGGTTTTTGATCCATTTGTGACTAGAGCTGACAGGAGGAAAGAGAGAAAGCTATTGAGGGGATTTGTCATTTTGGTCACACATTATCCGTGTTTCTTGTGATGCAATAATGTCTCCTGTTCTGTATGAAATCAAGGGCACCATTCCCCAGGATGTTCTGCTGCACATGGCCCAGTAAAATGTGCTCCATGCAGCTCTCATTCTTTTCAGTGGGATGCGCAGGCAGACTTCACAGTAAATTGCGCCCCAAATTTTCAGCTAAAGTCTTTGAAGGAGTCATTGTAGTCTTGTCAAAATCAATGTTTAATTTAAGAGATTTTGAAAGACCATTAAAGCCAATAAAGTTCTGAGGATCGCTGCAGGGTGGAGCTCTTGCAACATCTCTTGAATACTTAGATACTAGGATATTCAGATGCTAGCATCCTTTAAAAATTATCACTGCTTCCCCACCCATAGGAGGTCTCATTAGTACAATGGCAGTGGTTTGGGCATATACATTGCCTGTGTGTGTTGTATGTTTGTGGGAAAGAATTAAACAGAAAAGAGCCTCCCTCTCCCCTCCACTTACCAGGTAGAAAAATAAAATAAGCAATGTTATGAATTTGAGGTGTTAAGCCGGTACCAGACCCCTTAAATCTCTGGATCCAGCAAGTGTTAGAATTTAATCAAGGCTTCTAATTCTTGGAATAGCCAGGCTAGCCTGTTGAGGTGATAAACCTGGGTAACGAGCCTTTAAGGGGAATTGAGGAGCTCAGTGGAAGATATGGCAAGTGTGGGGGAGTCTCCCTCAATAAAAAAAGCCCGAGGTTGGAGCAAAGGGAGCACTGATGTGACCTGGAAGTAAAGCAGCAAGCTGGAGAGAGAATCAGAGTGATGTTTGACTTCTGTTTGAATCCAAGGCTGTGGCTATGGCAGAAACAAGACATTCTCAGCAAGTTAATAGTGTGAACCCGTGCATCATATACTCAGTTTGTATATATGTGTAAATAAACCATATATCACAAAGACCCCCACAGTCTCTGCTGTGTCTCATTCCAAAAGGAAACATGAGCCCTGCAACCTCGCGCAACTCAAGAGATTGAGGTGGCATGCAACAGTAAGAAGAAAGGTCTCAGACGCACTGATTGTGCTTTGTGATTATAGAAACACCAAACGGTTCAGCAGTCCTAGGTGAATATATGACTCACACCTCTGCTAAGCTCATTTCAGTGTGAAATGCTCTGGAAATAGAGTGTGGATTGCAGCAATAGATAGTCAGGAAGTCACTCGTTGAATGCAATAAGTTGCTTGAAATTAATTATTTGGGAAGTGCTTTCCAAAGCAAAACTGCTAAAGAAGATTAAATCTTCCCCTGGCCCATTAAAATGTAGGAGCTCTTTATTCATCAGTGAATCAGTGATTAATGCCCCATTTCACTTTCATATAAAGTTCAGCACAGGGAAGTGCTAAATAACATGTCCCTCTATGATGCAACTGGCTCAAAAATAAAGACACAAGGTAGTTTGCTCTGTTTTTATATCTGCACTGCATTGTTCCTTATTTCCTTCATTAGAATACTGAGGCATGGCTATCAGATTTGACTGCCTTGTTTTCTTGATGGCATCTGGCTAATTATCCTAGGCTTTCTGGAAACTTTAATTAGTACAAGCAATGAGTATTTAACATCACCCCCACCTTGGAAATGCAAACTCCTGCTCATCCAAATTCACTACCTCTCCCTTCTCATCATCCTCATGTAAATGCAATGCTGTTGAAGAAGCATCCCTGTTTATCTGAACTTTTGATGACCTGAGCATTTTAATGTAGTAACAGCTAGTGTTTCTCCAAGCTTCTTATTAGAATTCATTTCTTTCTTTTGCACATTTGTGATCAGCTTGGTTAGTGAGATAGTATGCTGGGTGAAACTACCAGGGCCGCAGCATGATAGAGAGGGAGGCAGAGTCATGATGGAGGTGGGATGAATGTAGTGCAAGCACGTCATGGCTGAGTGAATGGTCACCCCTGCTGATGTCTGCAGACTTTGCTAGGGAAGGAGATGTTCTTGCTTCTCCCACTGCAATGCTATAGCCCCTCCTGATTCTTTGTCTACCAAACTGGCTCCCAGGCTCCCACTAGCAATAATCAAATGCAGATTTCAGAAACGGTCTCTTTAAATCCCATTTCCCTCTAAGGTGAGCATAGATTATGATATATTCACATGGTTTTGCTAAAGAAAAGGGGGATTAGTGTGCATCTTACACATACGCATTTCCTGCTGTTTGCAAATGTTTCAGCATCATCTCACCCCCCCCTCCTGCCAATGGTGGTGATGAGAAGGGGTTTGTTTTGTTTTTTACATTTTTGGAACCAATGGATGTTTTCCACAAATAATGCTTTGGCTTTTGAAAGCCAGTTTTCCTGCTAATAAACCTAATTCCATGAAGGTGATGGTTAAGTTAGTAGTCCTTATAGCGGTTTCCTACAACATAGATAAAGGCACAGTTACTCCCCCCATGACCGTTCCTTCTCTAGAAGGAGGGCATTTGCTACATCTTCATCTCATTTTACAGCAGTGAGTGCTTCTTCCTCACATTCAGAAACATGGAAATCGCCACAGGGACTAAAGCTGCTGAAGTGATTGGCGAGAAAAGCTATATATCCCTGTTATAAATCTCTAAGTCAAGTCTGAAATAAAAGTTGTATGGCAAACCAGAAAATGAATTTTATCTTAAATTGAAATAGGGATCAGCTGCTATAGCCTGGGATTTGGGAATGATTAAGTGTAAGATTCAGTTAAGAAGTTTCGCCTCTCAAGAAAATATAAAGCAAACATGCCTATTCCTGACCTATATAGCTTTTTGGTGTGTTCAGCATAATAAAATGGCTAGATGGATCATGAATTGATACCACAGGTCTAAAAGTTGGTGGATGTAATGGAATTTGTAACAAAGCAGTAATCGAGCAATAATTTGTTTTGGTAATGAGTTTTGTCTTCAGTATTTAAAATTCAGGTTTACCCATATTCAAAGTGAAAATGCCGGTATGAAGCGATGCCTGGTTTCTGTGTTGCCAAATTAAATAAATATTAAGGAAATGGGTAAAACCTTTCAGGAAATAATTGTTAAGGGCCACAGTAAATTCCATCCCTATTCTAATGGCATTCTTGATGTTGTGTTCCACTCAAATGAAAATGGCTGACTCTTCATCAATAAGAGACTGCAGTACCTCTTTGCTCTCTTACCTATATATGGGTATCTCAAGGCCTTCCAATGAGAGATCAAGTCTGCATGTGACAAACTGACTCCTATGATCCAAAGAGGTGGAATTATTATACTGATTGTTACTCCAGTTCACTAAGTCTGCATCGGTCTGAGTAGTACTGGGACTGGTCCAACCACAAGCCTCTCCTACTTTTAAAACTGACATTGAATATTGAGATTTCCAGCAACTTCTTGGTTTCAACGCATATGTGAAGCCATAGGCAAGAATGGGAATCGGTATTCAGCATGGAGGACTCCAGTCCATAACCAGAATCAGAATAGGCATCAGTCCAATCAAATTTATGCAGAGGTTCCTCTCCTTCCCTCTCTGTGATAAACCTCTGCATCTGCAGTGCTTTTTTTCAGCTGGAACTCACTGGAACTCACCTCTCAAGTGGGTGCCATTGCCATTATAAGAGAACAAGGGAGGTGTTCGTGATGAGTTCCAGTACCTCTTTTCCTATAAAAATAGCACTGTGCATCTGGTTCTCATGACACTATCTGCCATGTGCCTTTGGTGTTCTGAGATAAGTTAAGACAGCATGTGAGAGTCAGGGAAATGACAAGGCAGAGAGTAAACAGTGATTATGGAGGCTAAGTACAAGCACATGACCAGAGTGGTGAATTGCAGAACTGGAAAGACAATGGAGATCAGTGCTAATTTATTTTACCTCTGCAGAGTTGGTCATATTCTAAAATAGTTCTGATTTATTCTTTGTAAAGTGCAGGTGGCATTGCTGATTTTTTAAACCCCGTAAGCAACAATTTCCCGCCCTCTTTTAACAAATTCTTCTGAAGATCAGTCCTCTGCTCTGCTGAAGCCAGAAATGCAGGAACGGGACTGCAGTAATCTATGTGCTTTTGACAAAGTGCATCTCCTGCTGTTGCAGTGAACTGGGCTAATTGTTTTATGAGCTGATATTTCCTTTACTGCACTTCTGTGATTTGTGGCTGGGCTCACTCAGCAGCGATCTTTAAGCTCCGTAACAAGCTTACTCAGACCAGAAGATGGCAGTCAGTCTTGGCAGTCCTGGTGCAGCATTGTGCTTAGATTGGCAGATCTGTCAAACATTGCTTTAATTTGTCCTGGGCCTGCATATGAAAAGTCCCCTCTCTTGTGGGTTATTCACCTTAATCCGACCTTTTGCTAATGCAGAAACAGTGACCTGTTATGACATGCTAAAACAAAGAGAAAATGAAAACGGCCTAATTTAGTCTGCTGTGGCTTTCCTAGTGATGTATGGTACCGATCACAAAGGGGCTAGTGCCATCTCTAATAAGGGTGAGTAATGCAGCTTCCACTGCTGTCAGAGCAATTCCGCTGACCTGTACTTCGAATACTAATAATGAAAGGATTTGTTCAACAGATCAGAATGCCTGTAGTGCTGCAGCAAAGAGCATCCTTGCATGGTAAAAATACAGACAGCAAAACAAAAAAAGACGAGGGAAAACACATTAAGAGAGAGAGAGAGTAACGAAGAAAGGAAAGCAAGCATTGATGTTTCAGGGCAATTCTATTAGGTGTGTGCACCAACGGCAAGATATATTTCAGATCCCACTTTGGAAGACGAAATTTGACTCTGAATGCTTTGGTCACAATCTGGTACATTTCAGGTCCAACTCAGAACTTTGCTTCAGAAAATCTGAGGCTTCAAATGTCTATCCGTTGACTTATATAGGAAAATAAACAAATGGCAACCACATTTTAATTGGATAAAAATTATAGTCAGATTTTCTGAGGAGATGAAGTCAAATAGGTGCTGGGTTTTCTGTGCTGCATGGTTTACAGTCTGAGGTTTGGTGTGTGTGTGGGTGTGTGTGTGTGTGTGTGAGAGAGAGAGAGAGAGAGAGAGCATTTTAAAGAGAATTCCTATAACTTTTTTAAAAATCATGGCAGAATTGGATGAAATTTGTTGGCATTGCTATCCCTTTTAAGGGAAGAAAGCCTGCCAAACCTCAAACAGGTAGGCATGGGGGTTCTGCAAGGGTTAGGGTCTTTGCAGTTTTGGGGGTGGGAAATCTCATCTGCTACCCCCTGTGATTTTGGGGGCAGGAAGAATTTATTTATTTATTTGTTTGTTTGTTTATTTATTTATTTATTTATTTATTTATTTATTTATGGAAATGGTATATATTGTAGAGATGTCCCTAAGTAAGTAACCTAAAAAGTTAAGATGAATGAAAAATAGGACTGGAGAAAGGGCAAAGTTATAAGACAAAGGATGCACCTTTAAAAAAAAAAAAAGAATTTGGACTAGGGAGACCTGGATTTCAATTATAGGGTGGGGGGAACATTTAGAAAGCCATACATTGTGATAAATATGTACATATTGTGATGAAATATATAAATAGTATTTCATATTTCTATGGATATATTTTTTAAAACCTAGAAACAGATTTTTCTATCCCTACTAATGTGCAAGGCATTTCCCCGAATTACAGTGTCATCCCCTCTTACACCAGTCTTGAGGGGGGTTGAAAGGACTGGAGGCAACCCTCCACTCTGCTTTCTATAGCTATGTCAGAAATACATTATTCTTAGTGCCTTCTGGAAAGTGCACTATCTTTAAAGGGTACATTTTCTAATGAATAAATATGTCCCCTTCTCCTTCTGTGAGGCCTTAATCAATAAAATGGGAAGATTTTTCTCTTTTTGCACTTGCTGGCCAGCTGTTATAATGCAGAATGGTAAATTTAAAAGAATACTGAACTGAACAGGGGCCACTAATGTCAGAAGCAAACACAACTACTGCAAGAAGTGTTTTCAAGTGTTCTCCGGCAGCCATAAGGTGTTGAAGCTACACAAAGGATTTTGAAACAAACATCACACTGGGGAGCAATTTAAAAACATTTTCCAGTTAGGCAAGAAATAAGACCTATTCTTTACTTGGCAGCTGTTTAAATCCACACTGGGAGGGTGGGAGCAGGACAGAATCTAGATTTATCTTGTAAAATAGACATGTTATTGTGCCTGCATCACTTGCAGTATGTTAAGAGGTGCTGCACCCTAAAATTGTGTATCTTCAACTTGTTTATCAGTTTCTCAACATCTAACATTTTCCTTCCACTATTGACACTGAACTGTATTATTATATGTTTTTTGGGGGGCGTGGCAAGACTCACCTAAAACATCTGGATTCAGTAAAGGGTTAGAATTTAAGCAAACCCCTAAATACCTGGGTCTAGTGGGAGCTAGAGTCTAGACAAGCTTTTATGTGTCCAGGAAGCTTCTTGGCAAAAGAACTATCAGGAGGTAATCACTGGAATGGCCAAGCCATTAAGAAGGTCATTAACAGAGACTCTCTGGAATGGACAGATAATGGACAAAGCCCCTCCCTGAGGTGAGAGATAGTTAGCAGAAACAAAAGGGCAGAGTTTCATGAGGGATGGGCAGAATTGCAGTGGGTGAGGAGGTAAGTGAACAGGAGAAAAGTGTCAGTTTTAGAAGCTGAAGGGGGAGCGGAGCATGAGGCAGGCATTCTCTTTTATGCTGCAAAGAGCATCAGATATGATGTTGAGAGTCTCTTGGAATCTGAAGCTGCAGCAACAGGAGGAACAGATCCTTCTTGGGATGTGAATGCCCTGCGCTTTCTCCATCTAGACACAAGTTGTATATATGTGCAAATAAACCATATATCATAAAGACACCACAGACTCCACTGTGCCTCATTGTCCAAAAGGAGACACAGACCCTGCTGAGCACGCCTGATACCCCTGGAATCTTGCGCCACTCGGAGACTGGTGTGGCATGTAAAACTATTTAAGTCAGGTTTGTGTGGCCCTTGGAGTTCAGGAAGATTGGGACTATTGCTTGGTCTGGTGTCTGGAAGATTGGCCAGTTGGCTGTTCTGGGTGGAATTACAAGCCCTCTGAAAGAAATGGTTCACGGTTTGGGGATGCTATCTGGTGTGGTTAAAATAGTTGCAACCAAATGAGAGCCAATTGACACAAACTGCCTGCAGTTGCCGTTTCAAGTGGGGAAAATGTGTATGGTATAATTTTGCTTTTGAACGACTAAGTTCCATATACCAACAACAATAACAGGAATAGTATGCATGGTACAGAAATCCTGTTTTTGTCCCCCCCCCCCGAAATTGGCTAAATATGTGAAGTGAGAATATTGCATGTTAAGAGCCAGTGTGGTGTAGTGGTTAAGAGAGGTAGACTCGTAATCTGGTGAACCGGGTTCGCGTCTCCGCTCCTCCACATGCAGCTGCTGGGTGACCTTGGGCCAGTCACACTTCTCTGAAGTCTCTCAGCCCCACTCACCTCACAGAGTGTTTGTTGTGGGGGAGGAAGGGAAAGGAGAATGTTAGCCTCTTTGAGACTCCTTCTCCAGTCCTTATGGGAACTGTGGGCAATCTGTTTCCTTTATGTCACCTTCTTTCTTATAAAACGAGGATCAAATCAGATGAGCTGTTGATTTATTAGGCTGATTTGAAAAGCATGCCTCTATTGATATCTACTGATTTATAATCTCTGTGAGAGCTGTTTCACACAAACATGATATTACTTTAAACTTAACTGGCTGTTCAATTAATGCAAAAATTTAATGTGAGCATGAGCATCCTGTCATATTTGAGACCATCTGTTGGCATCTGTCTGTCTCATGATATGAGGGAAGAGTACGCATTCAGGGATGAAATCAAACCATTGGACAGTTACAGCCCCTGCTTTGGCTGTAGAGACCAACATGGGAGGAGACATGTTTCCTGCTCATGGATTTTCCCTGTAACTCAAGGATGTTACCTTTGGATATTTTTCAGGAAGTAGTACTTCTCTGGGGGCAGTGCCAGCCCACACATGAGGCAAGGTAAGGTTACTGCCTCAGGCAGCAGGATCCACAGGGGCAACAGATACGACCTTCAAGGAATGCATTGCCTGCCTGCCTGCTGCTGCCGCTGCTGTGGTAGCATCCATGGCCCCGGTGAGCTCCTTAGAGGCTGGATCTGCCCCCTCCTCAGCAGTGCCCCCTCCAGTGCTGCCTCTGCAGCAGCCTCTTGGCGAATAGGAGGTGCTGCTGGTGGTCTCCCACCCTTGTTCCCAACATAGATCTTTATTTACCCCTTGTTCTGCTGTAGATCTTTTCTCACTCCTTCTTCCCTGGTAGGGGCATGGACACCATTTTGTGGTTTGTGTCAGATGCCAGATGTCTTGAGCCAGCCCTGTCTGGGGTTATTCTTCCATGAGAAGGATGGAATATGGACCTGATTTCATGTAGCTGGTAGTGCTCTGCAGATATACATTGCTTCAGTGACTTTCAGAAAAGCAATAAGCTTGATAAACAAAAGGAAAATAAATTATAGCCCCCAAAATATCTTAACCTGCAGTGACATATTTCTAATATGGGATTCAAGTGAAGTGTGTTGCTGCCAAAGAAAGCTGCAGCCCTGTGCACACTTAAACCAGTGAATAAGCTCTATTGAACGTAGTGGGACTTACTTCTGAACAAAAATATGTACTATTGCTTTTTGTCTTCCACTAATGCCCATAGCTAATGGTAGCAATGATTTTAGCAAACATCATTCAAAGTCCTTCGAGATTCTGAATCTTCTGAAACTCATACATAGAAAGCAGGTATATGTCTATATGATGATGCCACATTGAAGATCCCGCTACTATACTTATTTATAGATTTATATAGGTTTATATATTTCTGTTTACAGACAAATCTGTAGGTTGCTGACTTCTGTGTATGATGTTGACCAGGTAAAATCTCTGGGGAGATGAGGGTGTTCTATTTGACTTCAAACATTTTCTTCATAGTGTATTTGCATTTCATAATTGGAGGTGGTGGGAAGGGGCATCCAACTGACTCTGCAGATTATTTATTCATCCATATGTGCTAATCTCCTTGATTCTGCTGCATATACATTTTGCATCTGCCAACACAACCTTAACATGTTCTGGTCAATTAAATTTGTCCTTTCCTTTAATAAAATATTTGTCCTTTAATACAGCTCATTGGTCTTGATTTCTTTGACTCATGTTAAGTCTTCAGAATGAAGGTGCTATATGACCAAGCTATTCAATTACAAAGGCATTGTGTAGATACACTTTATGAAGCCAGCAAATTTCAGAGTCCAAACGGTGTGAGGACTTCCATTCAACACAATAGTATTGACTAAGGGAAAGAGTGAAAGTATATGTTCTGTGGTGAGAATAATAAAAAAATAGTCTTTACTAAGTACATAGGTATAAGTGGAAGTACAGGTCAAGGTTGAAAGTGGGTATTTTAGTTATCATGAATAATTTGGGCTGGATTTGCACTCATTAATTCTAATGCTGACTGCATACATTAAAAGCCCATCACTGAAAACTAGAAATATTTCACAGAGCTCCAATAAATTTTTTTAGGCTGAATATGACAATTACATTATTTAAAGCCAAATTAAAAATCCACAATAGCTGAACTCAGTCTTTTGTAGCTATAATCTCAGAAAAGAAGCTAAGGATAGGCTAAAATTTGATGAAACACTTGTGTTTTTAGATTTAGAGATGACCTTTAGACTGAAAATGTGACACTGCCCCCAAACCCATCCTGGGGAAACAATAAAGAAACATAAATGGATTTCAACTGGGACAGGATTTAGGTTACTGTTTCCTGAGATAGTCCTTGCAGAAAGAAATCCAGTAAGATAATACATTTTCTGGAAGCATTTCCTCCTATTTTGATTGTATAAGCTGAAGCTCTTTATCTATACTTGCACATCATGTACTTACTTCAAAATGTTTCTTTATTGCTGTTCCACCTCATGACTCATCTTCACCTTTGATGCCCCATTCATAGTATTTCATTGTGACATTTATAGGAAGAACCTTTTGGACCCTGCCTATGTTATTGGGTGGAGGAAAGGAATTACAGATGCTGATCATGATTAAAATCAATAATGGAAGTTAAATGCCATGTGACAGGACTCAAAATATGCTACTTGCTGAAGAAAGCAAGGTGTTCAATAGAATTATGTGATATTCTGATGGTCTGTGCTTTACAATAGATTTTACTGCAATGCTAAATCAATGGGCTTGTGTTTTAATACTTTGCAGCAACTTTGTTGATCTACAGCTGGGCAAAATGTGTTAGCAGAGCCTCATTGAAGCGGAAGAACAACTGTGCATCTGGAACAGAAAAGTTTGGAAAGCTAAAGCAAGTGCCAGTCGCTTAATGTAAATTCTTACAGAAAAATCCTAATCTAAAAGTAAGGTGCGGTTGCTGCTTTTGTGCAGTTTTGTGACCACTTCCATAACTTTTGCACAATGTTAGTGGGACACACAGAGAAATTAAATATCCCTGACTGGACCTCCCAACATATTTTTCTTTGTTTAAAACCAATCAAGCATCCTCTCTGTTTCAGTTGGCGCTGCATTGCTGGGTGGGGAAGTTAACCCTCCATTTCTGTAATTTAGCTAATTTCCTGCCAAGGCAGTTGTTAGCCATGGAGGCAGGAGCTGGGGAAAGACAGATAAAATATGGACTTCAGGGACTGGGAAGAATTAAATTGGGTTGACAAATGCTGCCCCAAATCTACAGACCTGATCTGAATCATACTCCTTCCTCCAGTGATGGTTTCTAAGCAAAGACACTTCACATCTAGTCTGGCCCTTTTTCAACTAGTTTTTACTACATTTGGGATCAAATATATTTATTGAGTGTGAAGACTGCACTCTCTGAAAACACTGTCCACTGTTAAGATTAAAAAAAACTATCTGTCATTTTCAGTTGTTTGAGAAAAGTCAGACTACTTGCTCTGTTGGATGAAGTTTGTTTTCATTTCACATTTAAATCTATTATCATGGCTTTAAAAATCTCAACAGCAAAGTTATCATGAGCTTTCTAGAAATGAAAGGGTGATAAATAAATATATTTTAACGTGTACAAAAGTTCCTTAAACAGCAACGATTGGCAAAATAGTGGAGGAACAATTTTGCTGAAAGCACTTGATTTTGCAAATGTCATTTAAACATTTGAGTCTCATCAATGTGCAACACTGCAATATAATTCAGTCCATTGAGTACAGTCCTGATTATATGACATTCAGGAGTGCATGAGATTCTGCTCATAAGCACAGGATGCAAAATTATTTATCATAATATAGCAAAGCATGCATGAATAAACCACCCATTCAGAGCCTATTTGTCTTTCTTTTGGCATTGGCTGCTTTGTATTGTTCCAATAGTGCAAAGAAGACAGCCATCTTAACAGGCTGTCTGCTAATTGCTCTTGCACAAGGAGACTCATTAGCTGGCCCAAGAGTCCATAGAGTCAGCTTCATTTAGAGGGCACAATTCATTGGAATAAGCAAATACAGTTCAAGTTAATGAAGGTGTACTTCATTGGATGTAATGAATGTATTGCTGTTGCTGTAATATGGTGACTTTGAATGGGAGGAGACATACACAGTAATTGAAATAAAAACTTCCCAGAAGTTTTCTGTAACTAATTCCCTCTTTTTATCACGTCCTCAGTCTTCTTTATGAGATAATTGGAGTTACATTTCTATAATTTACTTTTCCTCAACACTTTCTCATTATTTCTGGCAATTAGTTGAGACACCTAGAAGTTGTCCCATAGCAGATAAAAATCAATTTATTTAATAAGATGGCACTACATTTTTCAGAAGAAACTTTGTTCAGACTTTTCTAGTAAGCAGGCTGATGAGAGTTGAAAATGGGTGGCCCTTTGGAATACCACATTAGGACCTGGGCTGTGTGTTTTGTACTCCAGACTGGTGATTGTGGTGATATATGAATATAGTTTGTATAACTATTTCTCAAGGGCTAAGGCAGTTCTAGGTACTCTTGCTTCAATTGGAGCTGTTAATCAGAAACAATTAGTATTTGGCAGCAAGAAAAGTCTTGCTTCCAACAAGTGATAAGAAAGTTCAAAATGGCAGCCCCTTTACATGGCCAGCCTGCACATGAGGTGGACTGAAGCAGCGACTTTGGCTGGCAGAATCCCATGGGTTTCTCAAAAACAAGTTGTGCTAGACAAATCTTATATCTTTTTATGATGGAGTTACAAGCTTGGTGGATCAGAGGAATGCTGTGGACATAGGGTATCTTGATTTCAGTAAGGCTATTGACAAGCTCTCCCATGGTATTGTTGCAGAGAAGTTTGTAAAATGTGGACTAGACAAGGTAACTGTTGGGTGGATTTGTAGCTGGTTGACTGACTGAACCCAAAGGGTGCTCACTAATGGTTTCTCATCATTCTGGAAAAAAGTGACAAGTGAGGTGCCTCAGGATTCTGTCCTGGGACCATTGTTGATCAACATATTTATAAACAACTTAGATGAAGGTACTGAGGGGATGCTGAGCATATTTGCATATAACACCAAACTGGGAGGGGTAGCCAGTGCCAATGAAGACAGAATCAGGATTCAGGATGACCTTAACAGGTTGGAGAACTGGATCAAAACTAATAAAATGAATCTTAATAGAAACAAACATAAGGTTCTACACATAGACAGGAAGAGTCAGCTGCACAAATATAAGATGAGGGACATCTGGATTGCCAGTAGTATGTTTGAAAAGGATCTAGGGGGTCTTTGTAGATCACAAGCTTAACAGTATGATGCAGCACCCTAATGCTATTATAGGCTGCATCAACAGAAGTCTAGTGTCCTAACTAAGGGAAGTCATAGTACCACTCTATTCTGCTTTGGAGTACTTTGTCCAGTTCTGGGCACCACAATTTAAGAAGGAAATTTGTAAGCTTGAATGTGTGCAGAGGAGGGTGACTAAGCTGATAAAGGGTCTGGAAAACAAGCCTTATGGGGAACAGTTGAGAGAATTGGTTATCTTTATCCTGGTAAAGAGGAACCTGAGAAGAGAAGAGAAGAAGAGAAGAGTTTGGATTTGATATCCCACTTTATCACTACCCGAAGGAGTCTCAAAGCGGCTAACATTCTCCTTTCCCTTCCTCCCCCACAACAAACACTCTGTGAGGTGAGTGGGGCTGAGAGACTTCAAAGAAGTGTGACTAGCCCAAGGTCACCCAGCAGCTGCATGTGGAGGAGCGGGGATGCGAACCCGGTTCACCAGATTATGAGACTATTATGAGAAGATATGAGAGCTATCCTCAAATACCTAAAGGGCTGTCACATAGAGGATGGAGCAAGTTTGCTTTCTCCTGCTCCAGAGGCTATGATCCAAACCATTGGCTTCAAGTTACAAGAAAGGAGAGTCCTACTAAACATTAGGAAGAATTTTCTGCCAGTAAGAGCTGTTTGACTGTTGGACAGACTCCCTTGAGAGGACTCTCCTTCATTGGAAGTTTTTAAGCAGAGATTGGATGGCCATCTGTTATGGATGTTTTAGTTAAGTTTCCTGCATTGCAGGGGGTTAGACTACATGACCCTCACGATCCCTTTCAACTCTGCAATTCTATGATTCTGTGAGTGCTAGACCTGAAATGGGAAGAATTGTAGTCCAAACCTCACTGTGATACAGAACTTACTGGCTGTCTTTGGGTATTATTATATGACTTACCTCAAAGAGCTGTGGAAATCAAAGCAGTAAGACAGGATTCAAGCAGCTTGACTCTTATAGATTGTTGCTGCTGAGTTATGCTGTTTATCCTTTATTGCATGTTGTATGTTGCCCTACGCTCTGTTTGAGGAATGGGCAATTCATAAATACCCAATACACCCTCTCCCTGCCCAACAGTTTTTGGCATTGGCTTCTGTGTTGCTGGCAATGACATGATCCATACCCGATCAGTTTTCTTTTAGTTTAGAGAAAATGTGAATAAGAGAGGACATGAGAGAGTTGTATAAAGATATTCATGGTGTGGAGAAAGTGGATAGAGCTCTCTCTCTCTCTCTCTCTCTCTCTCTCTCTCTCTCACACACACACACACACACCCACACACCCACCCCCACACCCCCACACACCCCCCCACACACACCCCCCCACAATACTAGAGCCACACAATGAAGCTGAATGTTGGAAGATGCAGGTCAGGCAAAAGAAAGTACTTTTTGCACAGTTAAACTATGGAATTTTCTCCAACAAGATGTAATGATGGACACCAACTTGGATGACCTTAAGAGAGAATTAAACAGATCCATGGCAGATAAAACTATCCATGGCTACTAACCCTGGTGATTATGTTCTGCCTCCACATCAGGAGGCAGTTCTGAACTGTTTGCACCTATGGGCAGTGACTCCACAGTGTTTCAGACAAAGGCACATTTCAAGCCCTGGCTAGAGCTGCCAGGAATTGAGCCTACAAACTTCTACACGGAAAGCAGATGTTCTACAACTCATCCTGCAATAATTTATTCTCTGCAGGTACACCAATATAGACAGTTTGCCCAGGATGAAAACAATTAGCTTAATTGGGAATCCCCAGCTGTAATTAATTTTATCGTACTTGCAGAGCAATATTTACAAATTTTCTGAACTCTTCTCAACATTTCAGGAGAAAGGTCAAGTAACATCCCAATTCATGCTTGGCTAATATCAGGCTCAGAATTTTGTTGTGGGGCTTGCATGAAGGCAGTCATCATGCAGTCGGAACAAAATATTTTTCCCCAGTCATTTTCCACTGCCAGAATATTTAGACTGTATTCAGAGTGTGGTTTCAGCTGTGGCCCGATTCACTGACAAGCCTAATTTGTCTTATTAACAAGCTGGATTATGGCCGAGGTCATTACACATTAATTGTTGGCTCCTGTGCAGTAACCAAGCTTGGGTGAACGTTGATGAACGTTGTCAGTGGACTTCTGCAAGCAGCTGTACGTTAACTTACAAAAAAAATAAAAATCTATTTGATTCTTCTCCAATCAGTCCCAAAGCAGTAAATGCATTATCCCAAACTCATGTAGTGTCAGATATTACTAAAGAGAAATACAAAGGATTTCTTTTATATACACCTTTTTTGCAGTTCATTCATATGGTAATGTTCTGTCAAACTTCAGTGTGTATCCCTGGGTGTTAACAGGTATTTTATCTGCTAATGCTTTGTGCATTCACATCAAAATATATTTAAATAAGAGGAATCTAGTCCCAATTCATGTAATTTCCATATTTTTATTTTTGGAAAAAAAGAAAATCCTTCGCTATATAACTAATGCATGGCTGATTAGTAAATGTTTTATGAATTCTGTTCCTGTGATGGTTGTAAAGTACATCAGTTAGATGTAATGTGTACCAACAGACATGGGAGAACAGCTGAATTTTAAGTAGAACGTTTTGCCAGTGTTTGGCTACACATCTATTATTTCCATGACCTTTGAAGAGAGATACAAATGTAGGTGTATGGATTTGAAGTCTATTCTTCTTACAGCTAACATCCATAGGCGTCTTCTGCTAGATGTGATGCATTGTTGTTAGAGATGCATAATTGGTAAGCAGTGCTTTTAAGATATTTCTTACTAGTTGCTGATTAACCTCTAGATGAAATTTTAAAGTCTGTTTTAAAAAGCAACATTTGTTATACATAGGGATTGTTGAGTTTCCACTGCATCGCGAAGTAGCCACTAAAGGCCTCTTCATGCACTCAAAAGAAAGGGGCAGCAGAGGTGGAATGTGGGGTGGATGCAGGTACTCATTCAACAATCCTGCCTCCAAGCCAGGTTTTCCTCTTCCACTCCTGAATGTGAAAAGGTCTAAAGAGGTCTGAGCATGCTTAGAAACCTCATGATTGGGAACCCTTATGAAGCAAGGTCCCCAGTTGCAGTGACGATTCTAAGTGCATATACAATGGTACCTTGGGTTAAGTACTTAATTCGTTCCGGAGGTCTGTTCTTAACCTGAAATTGTTCTTAACCTGAAGCACCACTTTAGCTAATGGGGCCACCTGCTGCTGCCGCGCCGCTGGAGCCCGATTTCTGTTCTTATCCTGAAGCAAAGTTCTTAACCTGAAGCACTATTTCTGGGTTAGTGGAGTGTGTAACCTGAAGCGTATGTAACCTGAAGCGTATGTAACCCGAGGTACCACTGTAGCTGAATGTGCTTAGCAGTTGCTTCACATACCCACTTCCCTTACACAATTGAAGCCTCCATGGGTTGTTTTAGATTAATGCACGGTAGTTGCATCAATGTGGTAAATCATTAGTGTGCAGTGAATGGCCACATTAGCAGAATAATCCCCTCCCCTTCCTGCTCCCTTGAGGGCACTTTTTTAATGTGTGAAATCTGAGATTGTTTTGTCTTCTGGAATTAGTCATTAATACCATAACAGCCTCTTACAATGCAATCATATCAGAAGTAAGTCCCACTGTGTTTCAAGGAGTTTACAGTCTAGTCAGTGTGCTTAGCCTTGCAGCCTTAATGCAGCTTTTGCTGTGTATGGAAAAGAGAATATCAAATTATTTACATGTTTGCTATATAGATTTCAACTGATAGTTACCATCAGCATTACTCATGCCTTTGTAAACAGATTCTTAGAAGTCTGATGAAATCTATTCATTCCAGATTAATCATTATCACATCTCTTGTTAGTAAAGAGAACCAGGGTGATGGTGTTTTATTGAGTGCCATAATGACTTAGATGCAGGTTGAAAAAGTGAGGATAAGATCTCCTCTTCCTAGAGCATTCATGAGCAGCATAACTTTTATCATGAAAATGATAACCAGCCACCTGGCCTAAGCTAATGTGGAGAAGGCATTTGGAATACTGCCTGTCTCTATGTTATTCTACACAGTAGTTCAACACCACCACCACCCCGTCTCTGAGCTACAAGAGACTACAAGGGTTCCAGAACATACACAGAGTTCAGTTTCTTTGAATAAGGAAGACTGAAGACTGTAGTATCCTTAGGATATATGATTTTATTTATACCCTGATCATAAGGTGGAAGGTTCACAGCACTAACCCTGCAACAGATCTTGCTTCCTCATTGAGTTTTTAGGGAAGACCTTCCGCAAGGTTTTAGCACAGAGTATTGGGTCTTTTTAGCTCACAACTTCAGTTTAGAAAAAGGATAGCTCCTGGCCTGTTGTTCTCTTACCTACAAGAAGATGTGGTCTCCAGCTAGTTCATGGGGGAGGGAGGCTTCTTATCACTCTCTTGAAAGAGCATCACCAGCCAGGTATCTTTGTCTCAATGCATCTGCACTTGACCAACTATTTAGACATGTAAATTGATGCCAAACAGACTTGGCCAGGCACATTACCTTAATAGGGAGATTGGCTTGACCAGTTCAGCAGTCCTTTTTACTTCAAATTCCCATCTTACAGTTACAGGCTTGGTTGGGAC